CAGCTAACAACAACAACAAAATAATAACACTTTTACACACATTCTTCATACTTCAGAAAAATTTCTTCCAGCGCTGTGTTTTTGGAATATCTCAACTGATCATAATTTTCCCAATCTACCTCAGATGAGTATATTTTTTCAACAAATTTCATAGGGAAAGAAAAATAGTATCAGCATCTTGATTGTAAAAACTTCCTCTTTAAATTCATTCCACCGGTTGGACAACTGCCTCCAAATAAAATTCAAATTTTTCTTGGATATTAAACAACCAACACCAAAGATTACACAACGTATTTTCAGCTACCGCGTTTTCCTCATTTGAATATTTGTTTTTCTTTATTCCTCCTCAGACACTCTTCAGGGACTACACACCCCGGGAGTTCCACTTTCCAAGCTCTGCCCAGTTCAGTGAACAGTAACTAATTTGTAGCAACAACTACAGAAACCATACCCAAGAGTATTAACTGCATCCTACTTCTTAATTTTTCTCCAATGAATACATTTGTCGCTCTGATTTCCCTTTAACACACTGCTTGTCTCTAAAATCCTCCCGTAACACACGCCCCGAAGAGTTAAACTTCACCTTGCTCAAGCTGTATAATGTTAGGAATTTAATTGGCATTAAAGTCCTTCTCAACAAAGTCCGTTGACATAACTTCATCTTGGTCTGCACACTGTCTTTTTGCTTTTTAGCCACTTGGCACAGGCAGAGCATATGTCCTGCCAGTTCTGAGCTAATCTCCAGGAAAACCTTTGTATGGCAGCTGTGAAGACACTCAGATCACTGGCTACGGTTTTAACGGCCTACTTCAGCATGTTTTCAATAAACAGTTAACTTACTTCAAAATAACGATTTTTATTAATTCGTTTCCAAATTTATACAACCCACGGCCAATTTAGAGAAAAGAAAAACAGAGAACTCAGGTTCATTTCAACTTCAGGATTAAAGGTAATTCGGCGCGTTACAGGCCACCGGGTCCCCCAACCCCGTCCGCTGGAGATGACAGGCGCGGTGAACCGCCCTGCTTTAAATAATTTCCTACGGTTTCAACTAGCGCAATACGGTTAACTTCCCATTCTAGTTTCTCACTGTTATTACGAAAACAGCTGTCAGCTGGGCTTCCGTAACCTCTTTGTACAACCCATTATTCAACGCTTTGGGATCCTAGAGGATGCGTCATTCCCACATTCCTCCTCCCAGGCGAGCTCCAGGAGGAACCTGGCATGCTCCTAGGGGCTCTCACCGGGTGCTCCACCACGGGGCACTGGCACCGAGCGGCCCGGGAGCCCACGATTGCCCAATGCCGCACGGCGGCTGGATGACACTGGCAGTGCGAGCGGCCGGCGCGGCGGGGAGGCCGCCGTGCTTCCCTCCCCGCCCTCCTTCCCGCTTTCGGGCACCTCTCCCGAGCCCCGGGCTTCCCTCGGACGGCCCGCGCCTCCCGCGCGCCCCGGTGCCCGGCCGCCGCACGCCGGCACGCACACGCTCCGCCGCCCCGCCATGTTCCGGGAGCGGCCGCCACCCTCCCCGCCCGCGCCCGCGGCCCCGCGCCCGGCCCCGCCCCGGCCCGCGCCCCCGGCCCGCCCGCGGCTCCCACCTGCACCGCGGCTCCTCCGGACGCCCGGGGGGCGGCGGCGGCGGGCGGGGCCCTCGGCGGGGCCGGGCGCGGGCGGCCCTAACGGCCTGTCACGGGAGGGCCGGCCGGGTCCTCGGGGCGCGCCCCGGCCCGGCGGCGACGCGCGCCCCCCGCCACCCTACCTGGCTCCGGGGAGAGGGGACGGGAGCGGCGCGGCGCCGAGGCGTGTGCGAGGGCGCGGGGGTGGGCTGCTTCCCGGCGCCGGCGGCGGGCTCCGAGCCGCGCCCCTCCTTCCTCCCGGCCGTCGCCACGCCCCCCTCGCCCGCACGGCCCTAAGCCCGGCGCGCGCAGCGGGCTTCGCCCCCCGAAGGAGCGCCCTGGCGCGGGGCCGTCGCGGTCCTGGTCGTCGTCGTGGCCCCTGCAACCGCCACGAACGCCGCCAGGGCCGGGCTAGAAAACATCTCCGGGCTCGGTCCCGTCTCTCACCACAGCCTCCTCGCTCCCAGGACAGCGCCGCCCGGCGATTGGCCGCCGCGCGAGCACGTGACCGCCGCGGGCACGTGACTCCCGCGGGCACGGGACGGCGAGGCGCGCGGGGCGGGGGAGGCGGCGCGTACCAAGCGGGCGGCGGCGGGGGTGCGGGGCCGGGGCCGCTGCCTCGGGCCGCGGGGCGCCGTCGCCGGCGGGAGGCCAGGGGAATGAGAAAGGACGGCCTCGGCTTCACGGCGACCGTGACCGTGACGGGGACCTGCAGACTTGGGGAAATGGCGGCGTCGGCGAGGAAGACAGTGCACGGCGGGTGGAGGAGCGCCAGGACTGCGCTCTGGCCAACCGTCGGCCGTGCGCTCGGGGACCCAGCGCCGGCCCGGGCAGCGCAGTGGCGGGGCGTGCACCTGCCGCGACGACCGCAGGACCTCCCAGACAGGGGAAAAACTGCCAGGTACTGGATATGACTGCCATGTATTTACCTTTTCTGGCCAGCAGCAACGTGTGCCCCAACTTCCGGATGCTTTTTATTTACACAAGTGAATCTGCAATGTGTCCGTTTCTTTGAACCGCCATAGGCGGTCACTTCAGTTGTGGCCTGTAAATTGTTCCCCTTTGAGACCATTCATACGATTACCCATGTATGTAAAACTGTTCTTTAGGGTTCCGAGGTGATCACAACAGATGATGTTCCATTAAGTCATGACCAGGCATGCCAAGTCCCAACTCGACTGCCCTGCAGTTGGGATTCTCCCCGCCACCCCTTCCCTTTTTCTTGCATTCCTGATTACTCCCAGCTGCAGGACTTTGAGCACAACCGCGGGACGGGTGCTGGGTGCCACAGAGCAGACACCATTTGGGCGCAAGGCCCACATTCCCCGTTAGCATCCCTGCTTTCCAACTTCTTGCTAATGCGGTCCAGCAGATGATGGCTCAAGTACTTGGAGTTCTGCCACCTGGGAGGGAGATCGTTACCCGAGTTGCGCTTCCTGGCTTTGGAATGGTCCAACCCCAATTGTTGCAGGCATTTGCGAAGTAAACCAGCAAATGGACGATCTTTCTTTCCCTTCCACATGAAAATGCGCTTGAGGAAAAAAATGAAATCAGCGATGTGGCTTCTGCCGGGTTAAAGTACTGACTACTCCACTTCAACCCGGCTTTCCTGCTGATCAGGAGAGCAGCAGCTGGCCCAAGTAGTTGGACCCCAGCACCCACGAGAGACCCGGATGGAATCCAGGGCTCCAGGAACAACACTGGTCGTTAAAACCATCTGAGGAGTGAACTAGCAATGCAAGATCGTTTCCTGTCCTTTCTGTCCTCTAAAACGCCTTTATGGCGTGAAGTGTTGCATGAATATGGATGTTTATCTCATGAAAGGGGACAGCATTGTGGCACAGCGGTTAAGGCACTGCCGGCATCCCCTGCAGTGCTAGCAGCTCAGCTTCGGATCCACGGGTCTGCTAATACCTGGAAAAGCAGCGCTGGGTTCTGCTCGCTCCTGGGAGACCTGGATGCAGCTCCTGGCTTAGGCCCTGCAGCCTTCTGAGCAAGAGCTGGAAGAGCCGTTTCTTTGTCCCTCCCTCTTCCTCTACAGCTAGCTTTTCCTTTCAAATAACATACAAATACAAAGGAAATACAACTGCTGCTTGTGAGAGGTCAGGAGCACTCTATGGTGGAAGAAAAACATGTATTGTGCCACTTAACAAATTTATCTTTTTCAAAAACAAAACCCACAATCTTTAAAGTCATACTTTAAAAAATGGTCATGTTTTTAGAATACCTTAGAATGAACAGTGTGTCTCAGGAGCAACGCCAAACAGTGACTGAAAGAGCCTGAAGCGCTGTGATCAAATGCAGTTATCTACCAAAAAAATCCCTTTTTCTCCCAATCTGCAAATCTAGCATACTGTAGGTAATTTCTGTGTGTGATCCTCCCAACAACTTTATCCTTTCTTCCAAGTTATAATATTTATACAACTAAAGAGTATTTTGCACAGCCAGTGATCTTTCCAACCAAGGTATTTTCAAAAGCATCCATTAATTGTTGGTTTCAATTATGTATCAGCATAGTGAGATACTGTCAAATGTTTTTTTGCTTTATTTATTTTTTTAATAATAATGATAATGATCTAGAGGCAGGTACCAAATTTGATTTGTATTCTAGTATAGTTTAAATATGGCTATTTAGAATCTATAAATTAAAGTGGAGTCATGACCTAAAGTTTGAAGAATAATGGTAACTTCAAAATTGGCAGCAAAATGGAGAGGGTGTTGGGCAACGAGTTAAGTCCTTGCTTGTTGGTAGTGGTCCCCTGGCCCCTTCTGGCTTGCAATCCAGCTTCCTGTTAATACCCCTGGGAAACAAACAGCCCCAGCTGCAGGCCCCATTTCCTAGGTCACATTTAGACGGTCTTCTGGCTCCTGGCTTGGACCTGGTCAGCCCCAGACACTGCAGGCGTTTGGGCAGTGAATCAGTAGATTCTCTACCACTTTCAAACAAATCTTAAAACTTGTGCTGAAGATGGGAAAGCAAAACTTATTTGAAGTTTGTTAGAATTTTTACTTCACTTTTGGCCTGGAAGCCAAAAGTAAATGGTATTAGAGTACCTGCTGACTGACTATGTAGTAGTGTCTTCACAGTTAGCCACTGACAGCAGGAGACTTTAAGATGACCTCTGTTGTGCTGACATATTTACAGCTGCAGATTGCTAGGTGACGTACTACTAAGACGTACACAGAGTTGAACAGATAACATAAAAACTGGGCCGGCCAGTAGTTCCTCCCTCCCCGCCCCCTCTCTTCCCTTCCTTTTTTCCTGGTTCTCCCCATCCTCCTCCATCTAGTCCCCTTCCCCTGCCCTGGCAGCCCCGATCCTGCCACCACGGCAGGGGACATTTCCCTTCTGAATAAGAAAAAAAAACACATAATAACAAAAACTTTATGTACACCGGTTCATGTTTATTTGTCCAGTGATATTATTTACAGTTGAATATAAATTAAAGGCCTGCTTGCACACCAAAACCAGGTCCTTTGGGTGGTTCAGTCAAAGAAGTGAGACCCCCAGCTGGCTCACAAGAGAAGCGTCCACTCCTGAAAATAAAAGGAAATAATGCTAAATTAAATAGTATGATTAACACTTAGGAATTTCTAGTTGCAAAAATAACTATTATTTCACAATAACCCAGTTAAGTATTTCCCTCCCTTCTCCCAGGAATTAGCATGGGTTATTTACTTCATTCAAGTATTTCAAATGTTCCAAGATTTTATCTCAAATATGTATCAAAACTTACCATAATTATGAAATATATAAATAGTACTAAGAAGTAGTTCCTACTGATTGAGCACGATACAAACACGAGCTCCTCTAATCCTGACAACAGTGCCACGCTGACGTTGGCTTTACTGACACAGAAACTAGGGCTTGGGGGACTGTAAGCCCAAAGATCAGACCCAAGAACTGCGACAAAAATAGCATAATCCCACATAATACTTTAAAAAAACAAACTGTGTTTAAGAATCTAAGGTATAACATTTAGGTTTTTTATACCTGGATTTCATTTAGATTGATATACTGTCAAGATGACACACATACTTGCACACTGCATTTAGAAATGATTTCCCTGAGATATACGAACAATTGCAAGGATGTCCCTTAGAAGCAATTTTTGAAAAAAGCTTTCAGCCACAGTGGCCAACGTAGCCCACACAAAGAGAAAAGCGATGCTGAAGGAGTAACCTGTGAAGACAGTGCAGGGGCAGCTGCAGTCACTCCCCACCCGGACCCTCCCCTGCACTGCTCATCTCAGCTGCCTCTCACGTCTGCGCGGCACCTGCTACCTAACTGTGGTCCTGCCCGCGTTCCTGCCTTGGCTAGTTTACCTTGTTCCCATAACAGCTTTAGGTAAAGGACTTATTTTACATTTTCAACCCCTGCTGGCTTTTTCCTTCCTAGCTGTCATGGATCCTGTAAGCCTGTTCTTTGGCACTAAGAATTAATTTTTTGGTGAGGGGATAATGAAATGATACTATATGACTAACATTTCAAGCTATCACAGGACATGATACTAGGAATTAAGTAATGTACCAAATAATGCTTACAAAATCAGAAATTAGTTCTATGTTTGTATGATAGGTGTTCTTGATCACCATAAAAACCAATTTACCTTGGAAGATCTTTCCTCACCCTTCCTAGGATCTCCGCATCAGATTTCCTCTGCCTTTAGTAGAACAGGATGTGACTGAAGTGGCTCATTTGAAGTCTCAGGAAATCTGAGCATTCAGTATCTTAAAGCTTCATCAGTGTGGCTATGAATATTTTTAAATTAATAAGGTTCTTAATATTGATGCCTCATTACAAACATAAAAGATCAATAAATAAATTTATAAAAATATCTTTTAAAAGATTTTGTTTTTATTGGAAAGGCAGATATACAGAGAGGAAGAGAGATAGAGAGGAAGCTCCTCCATCCAATGGAGGATCCTCCCCAAGCGGCCTCAATGCCTAGAGCTGAGCCGATCTGAAGCCAGGAACTTCTTCCAGGTCTCCCACATGGATGCAGGGTTCCAAGGCTTTGGACCATCCTCGACTGCTTTCCAAGCCACAAGCAGGGAGCTGGATGGGAAGTGGAGCTGCCGGGATTAGAACCGACGCCCATGTGGGATCCTGGTGCATTCAAGGCTAGGACTTTAACCACTATGCTATCATGCCGGGCCCAAAATAAATATTTTTATAACAATAAAAAAATACAATTTTTGAGCTGTTCAGTTCTTTGAGAGTTGACAGAAGATGCACATTATTTTTAGTTCAAATTTAGAGAAACCTCTTAAAGAAGCCTTGTTTGAAATAATTTTAATAATGAGCTGGTTCAACTTTCTAAATGCTTGTTCCATAAAATTAAGGGCCCAAGACATACTTTTGAGAAAAGGGGGGCTCCAGTGATGTGTTATGTCTGGTTGCAACCTTTATCCTTTCCTCCACCATTCATATTAAAGTACTTTTATGAAACCTATACTTTGATTTCTTCTACTAATCAAGTAACTTCTCTCGGCACTCCCACTGCATCCGTAGACGGGACTTGGAACACTCAAGCAGCAATGATGTGGCTCTCCTAACGTCCTGCTTTTCTGATAGCCTTACAGTTTAAACTAGGTTTTTCACTTAAGGAAAAAAACGTTTATTCATTAAAATGTTAAAAATAAATGTAGTTCAGCAATTAGAAAAAAAAAAAAAAGATTTATTATCTGAAAAGCAATTCCATCTGCTGGCTCACTCCCCAAATGACTGCAACAGCCAGGGCTGAACCAGGCCAAAGAGAAGCCTCAGCCAGGCTTCCTGGTGGGCGGCAGGGGTCCCAGCCCTAGGGCCGTCCATTGTTGCATTTCCAGGCACACTAGCAGGGAGCACACTGCACCACAGCACCAGCCCTAACCATTCCACACTGTATGCATTTGCACCATTTAAACTCAAATGGATTTTGTAAACTTTGGCTTTTATAAATGGTTATGGCTTAAGGAAAATTAAGACATAATTAGTCTACTGAAAGTCTACATTATTGTAAAAGTATTGCTGACATACATCCACCACTATTAGAAAAAATAGAGTCAACTATCAACTGTTCTGGAATTGTACTCCAGTTATATATTTCTATCAAATATTACCTGCACTCCACAGAATTCTGTCAAACTTAAGATACCTTTATAATCTAAACATGAAACCTTAAAATTATATTTAGTGTTGGTTATAAACTAATTTATATTGAAAAATAATTTAAAGTTTTTCATTTTTTAAATTGGTAAGAAAATCTCAGTAAATAATTACTGTCAAATTAAGAGTATTATCAGTTTAATTTTTTTAGCAGTCTCTTATCAAAAATGAAAAACAAAAAAGCATTTTTGAACCACACAGACTTCAGTCTTTATTGACTAGTAAATACCTCTGTATTTTATAGTATTTTATCTTAAGAGGTAGTAAACAGAAAGTAAAACTAGGTTCAGACTTTGATAATTCTCAGATATTCGGCTGCAATTCAGAACAATGTCAACATCACGTAGGGCCTCCAGCAATAGCTTTCTATTAGAGACCTCAACGCCGATTACTTCTCTGCACGCCTCTCCCCTTCTACTACTTCTCCTTGATGCTTCACTGACGCCTCTTATTTTCTTGTAAGGCCTTAACCTAAAGTTTCCTTCTAGCTATTCAAGTCATGGCTCATTTAGGAGGCCTCTCCTGACTAAATTTATTCCCAATCACTCTTTTCCCTAACTCTTCCATTTTTCTTCACAGCCATTTCTTATTCAGATAATGCAGAAATTTCTCTCTCACTAAAGCATAAGCAAATTCTGTTTCGTTCACATTGTTACACAACCTAAAAAGTACCTGGCACACAGCAGGCACTCAAGAATGTAGAATAAATTACAATCTGCAGTGGGAAAGGCAGCAGACCAATTATCTATTGTATGGATCAACACTGAGAAGTGCCATCAGAGTGTTCTAGGAGGGAAGAGGTTCTAGACAAAAAAATTATGATTACAGAATTATAAACAAGCCATTAAATAAGATGTACAGGGTGGGGCTGGAAGTTAAAGAACCTAAGTGGATTTCCAAGGAAATTTACATTTGAGATATTAAAAAAAGGTATCCCAAAGTTGAAAGACATAAGAATAACATAGCCTAATTTAAAACATGAGAGTCCTAAAAAAGGAACTGAAACTTGTGGAAAATACCATGAAATATGGACTTTCAGGATAGGAGATATCTACATCTGAACAGGAATAGGACTGCTGGTTAATACTGAAAACAAATGCTATCATAAAGGGGAATAATTTTTTCACAATAGAAATGTTTGACCTAAAAGAAAACAAGTATACCCGTCAGTCAGGAACTAGGGAGAGAATGCCAAATCTCTCCAAGCAAATTTATAGGCTCATACTACTTAAAACAAGATTTTCTCTCAGGAAAACAAACAAAAACTGTTAGTCAATAAAAGCCAGGTAGCATTTACTAAACTTACTCTGAATTGACCTCATTTTCTCATCAGTCGGCCAGAACACTGAGTGAATATTTTTAGAGAGCCAACTACAGATAACTCACATCCTCTGACTTGATCATTCACTTTCAGGGAACTCAAAATAATTAGAAAAACAAAATTTTAAAACAAATAGTAAATATTATCTTTGCTAGTTTAAAACATCAGAATACTGTATGACTATTTAAAACCACAAACAGACCAGTTTGTTTCCTGTCTGTTTCCTATTAACGTCTCTCAGCACATTTATGAAATAAATAGGAAAAATACCGAGAGGTTTTAATTCTATAAAACTATCAAAGTATCTGCTTGTAGTAAGTAAAGCATTCTGAGTAACAGTTAAGTTACACATAAAATAGGAGTTATTTAGTACTAAATTTTCAAGTCCATTACTGAAAGTGAAGCAATGAATATATAACTATAGGATAATAGCAACCTAAATAAACAGAGGATAAATTGGAAAACATCCAAGTATTCTAATTGAATGGCAGTGGTATTGTAATATTAACACATCTGAAGTTAAGAGTTGATAAGATACAAGTATAATGTTGGAAACAAAACACACAGCTCTACAATGCTCTGCCCTGCTCAGGACATTTCCAAACACCATGATTAGTTTTATCACTAGCCCCTGAAGCAGGCACTGTGACACACACTAAGCCTTTGCCTGCATCCCACAGGGGCAGCGAGTCCAGGATGCTACACTTTTGAACCACCTCCTTGCTATTACGCCTGGGAAAGCAGCAAAAGATGGCCTAAGTGAACCCAAAGAAACTCCAGGAGCCTGGCTTCATACAGCCCCACTCCAGCCGCTGCAGCCATTTGGGGAGTAAGCCAGCAGACAGAAGATCTCTGTCTCTTCCTCTCTCCGTAAATCTGCCTTTCAAATAAAAAGAAAGAAATCTTTAAAAAAAAAATCACTACCTCTTTAGAAAACTCATAGATGAGGGAGACCAATATTGTGTTGAAGAGGAAAACAATGAACTGTATACAGTCAATCTAAGAAAAAGACAAGAGAAACCAGGTAACTAAGTAACTGAAGAGCTGTCATATTAGAAAAGGTGTTGACAAAAGGCAGAAATGCTCCTCCAGAAAAAATTACAGGGAGACAGATTTTGGACAATAAATCTCTTTATAGTGAAACTTCCTTCCCCATAAATATTCAGGAAGGTATTAGATGATATATCTAACACAATTTTAGAGGAAAAAAAAAATCTTGCTCTAGATGATAGACTGATTTAAACTGTGTTCAAAGCTTCTGCCCCATCTGTGAACTCAGGATATGAAAATTTTAAAAAGTCTACAAGGTTTAGGCGAAGCCATTAGAAATTCTGAAAGCATACCTTGGCCCAGGTTTTGGCATTTTGCCAGCCTTCAGCTCATCAATAATTTCCTCAATATCCTTCGGTGTCAGGTCCTCCTACAGAAAACACATCACAATCATTGCATTGACATTACTCCCTACTGCTAAAATCTCTGTAAATCTGTAACTCCAGTGAGTTTACTGCCTGTCTCAGCTTACACAGCTTAGTGGGTGTGTAATTCCTACCTACTTTCACAGCTATATCTGAAGGGGAAATAGAGTGATGCCTTGAGTTAAACGTGTTTGAGTCCTGGCTTCACCACTTTACCACCTGGCAATACTAGATACTCACTCTTCCCAAAGTTGTTATTTATATTTCAACTTACTTCAGGGTGTTTCTGAGAATTAAAGAGAGAAAATACAAAGAAACACAGTCAAGGCAAATGCTCAATAGATGCTCTAATCCCTGAAGAAGCATTGAGACACAAACAGTATTTAGCACCAGTAGTTGTTACAACTTAAAGGTAGCAGCCTAATATATTCCTGAATGCAGCGCCTTAGACCCCTCAGCCATCCTGACATCTGGTCATATATTTCTATGTTAAATAATTATCTACTACCAACTGAGATTCTCCATCTCTTGAACAAATGTGTCTGCAGGCCACAATGTTTTAAATATAAGTGATAATTGTTTAGTCCCTATTTAAATAGAAAAATAAATATCCTGAAGACAAACAAAACCCACAGTGAAACCCAGGGAGGCAAGTAAAATATCAAGTTTCAAGGTTATAAAGTCTAGACAAGAAAATTATGTAATAATTATATTTGGGGATGAAAGGAAAGCTATACAAATGATGACTATACCTCAAATAAATGTGGCATGTTACCTCCTAGTGATTCCTATAAGCAGAAATACTTTTATTATTTATATCTAAATTATTAAATTCCTATACTATTTAAGTGTTCAAAACTTGTCACTATCATATGGAGTTAAATGCAAAAATTAAAGATATTAACTTTTATAAAGACTACAGGTATTTATTTATGCTAACAATTTCTTCTTACAGAATAAATAAGAAGCCAAAACCTAAAGGAGATGAAATTAACTATTTTAAATATGACATCATACTACTTTAATGTACATGAAACGAGCACTCACGTAGTAGTTGTCATTTATTTGAACCATAGGTGCATTTACACAGGCCCCTAGACATTCCACCTCGATAAGAGTGAACATTTTGTCAGGTGTAGTTTCTCCAACCTTTATTCCTACAAACAGAAATAATCACTGTAAGAACCAGGGTGTATTTTAATAGAAATCTGGTTTTGGGGGGACCCTTGTATTATTGAGGTGCTTAAGAGCATCAAATTTCTTAAATAAATAAACAGATAAGCCCTTTATATAATCACACCAAACATCCAAGAGTTTCTGAAGTTGACTTGTTCTTTTAGAAAGAATCAGATTTCAGGGAACTCTCTCTAGCATTTGTTGTCCATAACCCTTCATCAGACTTCACTGCATTCATTTTGATGGTGGCAATTAAATTACTACAATCACAGTTAAACTATCAGATTGCAGAAACTCAGAAAACTTCTAATGTCAAATATTACTGAGGATGTAAGGAAAATGGGTGCACAACACTTGAGGGAAGCCATTTGGGAAAGATATGATTAAGTCTTTTTTTTTTAAGATTTTTTTTTTCCATTGGAAAGGCAGATGTACAGAGAGAAGGAGAGACAGAAAGCAAAATCTTCCATCCAATGATTCATTCCCCAAGTGGCCGCAACAGCCAGTGCTGTGCCAATCCAAAGCTAGGAGCCAAGAGCTTCCTTCTGGGTCTCCCATGTGGGTGCAGGGTCCTAAGGCTTTGGGCCAGTCTGAACTGCTTTGCCAGGTCACAAGCAGGGAGCTGGACAGGAAGTGGAGCTGCTGGGATTAGAACTGGCACCTATATGGGATCCTGGCGCGTATAAGGCGAGGACCTTAACCATTATGCTATGGCGCTAGGCCTGATATAATTCTTACCCAACAACTCCACCTCTTATAAACTCCATTATACAGAGACAGGATCAAATGTGTGCACATGAAAGTCATCTCAGATGATAATTTGTGATCGAAAAACATACACATATAGTGTGAAAGATAGCCATAATGAAGTATAAGAATCAGAGATGTAACATTTATATACTTAATAATGAAATCATAAAACCTGGAACTAATATAACAGAACGTATCTGAATTTATACTTTTAAGGTAAGGATCCCAAGCTGACTCAGACTTCTGTTTTGTATACTTTAGTACTGCACAACAATCTTTACATCATGCAAGTACTTTATGTTCAATACCAAACAAAACAAAAAACAAACAAAATATTTACATTTACTGACAAATATAAACATTGTTTTGTATGGAAAGGCCTATTTCGTAAGTGCTACTAAAATAACAAATGTACCTCAAAGCATCTTAACTATGCTTTATCTTATATGTTGATGGTCTCCTGGGAAGAACACACATGGACAATATAATTTCTTAATATATCACATGCTAACACACAATAAATGAGACAGTTCTCTAAGCAACAAAAAAAGTAAAACTCCAAGAAACTTTTCAAACTCACTTAATGACTAATTAAGAAAGGGTAAAACTCAGCTTTGAGGCTGAGAACTAAAGCAAACAGTCAAGGTAGGCAAACACAGTAAAACAAAAATGTACTGGGATGGGTAAGGACAGCACCAGGTGAGCTGTCAAATTTGGGTAAATATGGATAGAAACAGTCCAACCAGAAAAAAAAAATGTTTTCCAGTAAAGGCTTACAAATACAGGGGCTGGCATGGTGGCAAATCAAGTAAAGCCAACACCTGCGATGCCAGCACAGGGACCAGTTCAAGTCTCAGCTGCTTCACTTCAGTTCAACTCCCTGCCCAGGTCCTCGAACCCCTGCATCTATGGCAGGGCAACTGGAGGAAATTTGTGGCCATTCGCTTCGGCCTGGCACAGCCACAGCTGATGCAGCCATTTGGGGATTCAACCAGTGGAAGGAAGATCTGCTTCTCCCTTTCTAATTCTTCCTTTCAAATAAATAAATCTTAAGAACAACTTTCTAACATTTCCTTTCAAATAAAAAAATCTTAACAATAACAACATAAAGTTGCAAACACGTATAACATGTCCCATACCAAGTTTTTTCTGGATGGCCTCCAGTATGCTGTCAGAGTTTCGGAGCATGCAAGGAGTAGTAGTGCAGACTTGAATGTGATATTTTCCAACTGGTTTTCGATTATACATTGTATAAAAAGTTGCTACTTCATATACTCTCATTGGAGGTACATCTAGAACTTCTGCAACCTAAAATATTTGGAAAGTTTAAAATTAGATAATTAAAATGTTTACTAATTGGGATTTAAGTATGTCAACACTGCCTCAAACATTTCTAACTCATAATTGCAAGACATACAGAAGCCTTCCATTTCTGCACACACCTTGCACTTCAGCCACACAGAACATGATGGTCTTCCTGTTTTCTGCAAAAGGCTATTCCTTGTCTTTAAATCTCTATGTCTTTTACTATTAGTAAGGGTTACTTTGACTAGTTCAATCACATTTTTAAAGTATCTGGCAAAAATTTCATGGCCAAATTTCAATTAAAAATTACTTTTTTAAAACTTTCATCAACTTTTTAAAAATCCCTGATGTTACTGATGTGTATAGTCCAAGCACATGATGTAGCAAAAGAAAAACATTGAGAAATCAAAGTTTATTACTGTGCCATATTTACTTACCTACCTATAAACTCATTTTATATCTCTACATTCTTATGTATAGATATACATCACACACATAAACCTCTCTCCAAAATAACCCAAAATTCTATTTCCCATTACGCAACAGTAACTGACCTGCTAGACAGACACTTCTTCACCCTTCTGAGGACTGAGGGGATTCTTGTTTTAGCATACCTTTCTCAGTAAAGGCAAATTTGTTATAAAAAATAAGAATTTTAACTTTCACTAGCGTTTGTCATTGTACAGTCTATAATGACTACAATGTGGTTACAATTTTTTTAGGTCATGTAGTCATCATTACACTTTCACCTTTAAGATGTTCTGGAGCCAGTGCAGTGGCACAGCACGCTAATCCTCCACCTGAGACGCTGGCAGCCCATTTAGCTGTCGGTTGTGTCCCAGCTGCTTCACTTTTGATCCAGTTCTGTGCTTATGGCCTGGGTAAGCAATGGAGGGTGGTCCAAGGGTCCTTGGGCCCTTGCTCCCCTGTGGCAGACCTGGAAGAAGCACCTGGCTTCAAACTTCAGGTTGGCCCAGCTCTAGCTGCTGCAGCCATTTGGGGAGTGAACCAGCAGGTAGAAAATCTCAATCTCTCTTTCCCCTTCAAATAAATCTTAATAAACCTGTTTCTTAAAAACTACATGTGTCCACGTTTTGACAAAACAAAACAGCTCATTAAATGACATTTCAAGTGCAAAATTTGTTGAAGTTTCTCATTTCAGGAATTCTGAGAAATGTATTCTCAAAAGCTATATAATCAGGGCTCATTTGTGAAAGATAAAGCAGCTACAGTATCTCATTTGGTGGCTTTAAAGAGCATACATGTAAAACACATAAACTGAAGTGAGGGTCTTTGCTATCTAATTTTAAAGAACTCTCTTTCCACATCTCCAAATTCTGCTACATACAATCCTCACATCTGGATTTAGGTTTGCTGTATGGTGAGAATTTGGGGGGAGGTTTAGAGAGTGGGGAGAACACTAGCATTGAAAGTCACTAATATAAAGTGGAAAAATGTTTATTATATTCTCTACATCCTATTTCTTACCTCTGCTCCACACACTCAACTCAAATACGATAGAACATGTTCTCTCATTATTTACAGGTTCTCACATTAATAATGATGCTTTGATAAGCTTGTCCTCAGTAAGACTCCAACTGGCTAGCCACTAGCCATTAGTAAGATACAAATTTTTTGAAGGAAAAAAAAAAACTATAAATAGTAAAATATGCCTAATCATATTTTACCACATCAGCTGGTAAAAAAATTTTAAGTTAAAAAAATTTTTAATTGAAAAGCACAGGCACAGCACAGTAGCCTAGTAGCTAAAGTCCTCGCCTTGAATGCACTGGGATCCAGGATCCTGTATGGGCGCTGGTTCTAATCCCAGTGACCCCACTTCCCATCCAGCTCCCTGCTTGTGGCCTGGGAAAGCTGTTGAGGACAGCTGAAAGCCTTGGGACCCTGCACCCGCATGGGAGACCCGGAATAGGCTCCTGGCTCCGGATTGGTGTAACTCCGACCGTTGCGGCTGCTTGGGGAGTGATTCAATGGATGGAATATCTTGCTTTCTGTCTCTCCTCTTCTCCTTATATGACTTTCCCATAAAAATAAATCTTTAAAAAATAATAAATAAGTCTTTCTAAAATGGGGGGGGGGGGTAAAGAGGTGTGTATGTGGCCTATCAGTTACGACTTTCAGTGGCTTCTTCCTACTCTGGAGTGCCCGGGTTTGATTCCTAATTCCTGCTACGGCAGAGCTGGGAAGCAGCAGGTCAGGTTGGATCCCTGCCATCCCTGAGAGAGATCGGGATCGAATCCCAAGTCCTGGCTCTGGTCTGACCCAATTCTAACACATCTGGCAAGTGAACCAGTGGATGGAATTTCTGTTTGTTGTTGTGCCGCTCAAATAAGTTAACAATACACCAGTGCAGGTAATTACTGAAGAAATAGGTGACTCATCACATTAACAACCGCTTGCCTAGAACCTCACTAAACCTGCTTTATCACATTTCACACAGTGAAAATAGGTCTAAATGTCCACAACGTGTTAATAACAATATATGAAATCTGCATTTTGGATTTCATTCAATGAAGGAAATTCCAGTTCTCCTAGAAAACTGATGGTGTAGCCTAATCATTACTGCCAAGTGAAGTTTAGAAAGTAAAAACTAAATGTAGCAGAATCTGTGAGAGGCAGGTAGAAAGTGCACTGAACCGGAAATGAATTCAGTCTTAGCTGTATCATTTAGAAATCATACTGTAATAATTAGCTTAAAACCTTCACTGCTGACAAGATTAAGTACAGAGAAAGATCAAGTGTCTTAGTGTAAGTCAGACTTTCCGTTATGCTTCCATTACATAACATAGCTTAGTAGTTGTAATTCTCATAAGAAACAAATGTGATTTGCACTGAGCACTTTGTAATTGACCCATTATAGTATACTATCACACAAATGTAGTTATGATATTGGTAAGACGTGAATAAAGTTGAAGTTTCAATAACGCCTGTAAACTATATTTAAAAATCTTTAAAATATGTGTATATTGTAAATATTCACTGTGAAATATTTTCAATATTAAGTGTAAAAATGAGTCACTTGCACCGTACCATCTCTGTAGGCTATTGGTTCCAAAGTGACACACCAAGTGGAATAAACACCACAATAGTAGAGTGTTAAAGTGTAACCAAAGCAGCAAAATATTAAAAAGATTACCACTAGCTTTATTCCAGTCATTCTTTCATAATATGTCCACACTAAATTACATTCATTTGGGATCTTTTTTAGGATCACTTTCCTCAGAAAGAAAAATCAAAATTCTCTTTCACTGTGCCTAATTCCCGACAAGAATAATAAACTCTACTTGGTGGTGTACATGAAGGAAACCAACAAAAATCAAACACATAACCAAGGAAACTTACATTAAGAGCCCTAAAATTCTAAATTCTAGAGTTAATAATTATTACAGTAGCTTCTACAGAAGAAAAGTCATCATACACTATCTCTCCTTTTTTTGAACTAACACAAAAATGAACAGAGTACCTTGTTCATTGCAGAGATAGGCAACCACCCATTCTGCCTCTGGGCGAGATCCAGGACCGGGAGCACAGCTGCTGCTTTATGCCCTTCTGGGTAGTTTTTGACAATTGCCTCTATCCTCTGGAGAAAAGAAAAAACACTCACTGTATCAGGAAAATAAGCATTTTGTAAAAGTAATTGTTATTGTACTCATACCTTATAGTTTTCTGGTGTGAAATCAAATGGAGTATCTGGGTTATTCTCAGGAGTGTTTCTGTGCTAAACAAACAAACAAACAAAATCAAAAGTGTGCAATCACACCGCACATAACTATGACTGATATATATAGGACTAACAGTTTTAACTTTTCCACTTTAATTCCAACATGGTATCAGTCTCTTTCCCTCAAAAAAGAAAGACTAAACACAGGTTTGATGAGTATGACTACCAAGGAAAGCTTAGCAGTATTCACAATCTTAGAAACAAGCCCCCTTTAAGAGTTGGAAATAGCTTTGGGAACTTCTAGTACAGTTATTGAAACACTGCCAATCATTGGAAGGCTATTTTAGACCCCAAACATTTGAGTGTGAACATATGTACCATTTTTGCAAGGTTGGTAAGAGGCCATCAGACTGTCAAAGGGATCTCAGATCCAAAAAAGTTAAAGATCCACCACATTAGAGACATGTGAAAATATTCTCTCTTCCCCACAAATTTTCCATAAACAGAAACTGGGCAACAGCAAACTGTATTCCTTTTTGGAAGAGCAGAGCAGGCCATATTCAAAAATGGACTAAAACTGGCACATCAACAGGAAATCATGTGAGTCACACCGAGAGTAACACATCAATTAATGCTTTTGTATGTGTGACTATAGAACTGAGCCCCTTGGTATGTTAACTCTGAGAGTTCTGCTTTTTAAAGGACATAAGTGAAAAGAGAAATTCAGACAATGATTTTAAGTACTGTTATTTGCTTAATTTGACATAATTTTAGGCAAAGATGATAAAACACAAAGTAGGAAAAACCACATACATTATATCCCTAACTCTAAATCTTCAAACAGTACACCACTTTGCCTGTAAACAACTCTATGAAACTGCACCAGTTCAGAAAAAGAGTTTATTAGGGCTGACTGGCTTTGTGGCACAGCACGTTATAACAATGCTGTTTCCGATATGGGATCGGCATCCCATACAGAAGTGCCAGTTCCAGTTCTGGCTGCTGTACTTCTAATCCAGCTTTCAGGCTAATGTGCCTAGGAAAACAGCAGGAGGCCTGTGAACCCCTGGCTGCATCTTGGCCAGGCCCCACTGGCTGTTTCAGTCATCTGGTAGGAAGTGAACCAGCTGATCCAAGATCTTTATCTGTTTCTCCTTTTCCCTTCTTCTGCCTTCCAACTAATCTTTGAAAAACAGGGGAGGGAGGTTGGGGAGGATGGAATGACTGTTATCCTTTCTGAATTGTGCAACTAAGCGGAGGAATTTAGACTTCTAGCCTTAGCAAAATTCCGGAAAACCAAAACCATAAAAGCCAACTGCTGATTTATTTACTACATTACCAAAATCCATGAGCATCACAGAATCCTCAGTGAATCAGGGTTACTGATTTTTTTTTTAATGACTCAAATGTACATTTTAATCAAAAAGAGATTTAACATAAAAACACCCAAAGTGTGATAAGAATCAGGTCAGGATGCGCAGTACTGTTTACCAAAGAATAATATAAACCGTTATTCCCAGTTTCGCTGGTGGCAATTTAAACTAGGATGCTCAGCGGGGACCACATTTTTTGAAATGTCGGGAATTCAATGAGCTGCATGTAAAGTCCCACATGACCAGCATATTTCAAACTCCAGTACTTAGGATATTTTAGGTTATCACAATGGATTTATCCAAGTTTTTTTATTCTGCATAAATCTAAGCAACCACTTACCACAAATAAGGCCCCTCCAGCTCCATTTTGCACAGCTGTCTTATGCAAATTCCTTATATGTTTTCCCTAAAATTTAAAATGTAAGAAAGTGTAGTAAATAACAAGCTTTAAGAATATTTTCACAGAAAATATTCTTTAAGATTCATAGTGTAAAAATAATCAAGTTATAGATGCAGAAGATCTTCAGAAATGCAGCATACCACCCTGCCCCTGGCCCATCTCTAATTCAGGAGAATAAGGTTTTATCAGCTCGCCCAAGGTCACACAGAACTCAAGACCCACAGTCCGGTAGACCCACAGTCGCCACCCTGACCTGCGGCATGCTGCGCCCTGCCTAACTGCCGGCCTGCGCTGGGAGAACATGTCTTTCACTTTTGAGTCAACTTGTTGCCAGTTTTAACTGAGATCTTTGTAAACATGTTTTCATTCTGTACAAATGAGTCATACACTCTGCAGTAGTGATTCAACAGTATCTTCCTTTTCAATCCCTTACTAAATTAAGTTCAGGAACTTCAGCTGTATAACCCGTTTCAGAAAACTCTTTAAGAGGCTTATGCAGATTGACAACGCTCAACTGCTTTGGGAGGGAACCTGATCATTCTTGCCGCATTCTAGTTCTTTCTGTCCTTTATTTAGCTCTTTCTCTCCAATCCTGAGAATTCAACCACTGCTCTGAAATCCTGAAGTTGGAGTTGCAAGTGGAGACAGCATAACACTGGATTGAACCAAACAAGGAAGTGACAAAGAATTGGGCAATTCAGATATCAAAGTAAAAAGAATAACATGATAATCATATTCAGCTTTTCCCTATTTCACTTAAAATAATTCATTTACATAGAATATCTGCTCTAATTAAAAATGAAAGACCCTAGTACTGACTTGAGACACAGCCAAGAAAACACGGGGGGTACAAACACAGCCAGCTTTAACCAGGTTGGCTTTCTTACAATTTTGGGAGATACACAAACACTACGTTATTTTTTTTTAAGATTTATTTATTTTTATTGCAAAATCAGATTGGATAGAGAAGGAGACACAGAGAAGAAGATCTTTCGTCCAATGACGACCAAAGCTGATCCGAAGTCAGTAGGCAGGAGCCTGGAGCCTCTTCTGGATCTCCCACACGGGTGCAGAGTCCCAAGGCTTTGGGCCGTCCTCGATTGCTTTCCCAGGGTACAAGCAGGGAGCTGTATGGGAAGCAGGACCACTGGGAAATGAACCTGGACCCATACGGGATCCCAGCACATTCAAGGCAAGGACTTCTGCTGCTAGGCTACCGCACCGAGCCCAACATTCTTTATTCTGTATTAAATATGTAAGTTCTTTTGATATAATGAGTATAACATTTATATCCAATGAAATATTTAAAGTTATTAGATTTTCATTTAATTTCTGGTTCAGTATCAAATCTGCTAACATAAGGTTATGCCCATGTCACTAATTTGCTTGCCCAGAATTTGAACTGAGATAAACATAATATCAGAGCTGTAATTTCCAAATAATATCCTAAAAACAGTATCAGCATAAAGCATTAAAAAATTAACTGGAGGCTGGCATAATCACTGCCTGCAGTGCCAGCCTCCATCGCTTAGGGCTGCCAGTCTGAATCCTGGCCGGCCACAGCCTCCTACTATGGCCTCGGGAAAGGGGAGAATGGTTCCAGTCCTAGGGCCCTGAAGCCTGGGGAGACCTGGAAGAAGCTCCTGGCCTCTGATCAGGTCAGGGTGGCCACTGTGGTCATTTGGGGAGTGAACCAACAGATGCAGGATTGCACTCAAGCCTGCTTGCTCTCTGCCATCTGCCTCTCAAATAAAAATGAATAAATCAAAAAGAAAAAAAATCAACTGAAACTAAAATTTAAAGCCAGTCATTGCCATCACTTTAGTTGAGAGAATTTGAGTAGCATTAGCCAGTGACTGAACTGCATTCTAACAGGAAGATTTCTCCGGAAAGGAAGGAAAGATTAAGCGGCTGGAAATCGCTCCTCCTTTCTGTTCCAGGCTCAGGGTTTACACCCGAGTTTGTTTCTCCATAAATCCTTACCCACTATTACTTCTAATTCTATGCTGATGATTCTTATAATCTTATAAACATTTAATGACAAAAGGTTAACAACTTGAAGAACTCATGAATGCATAAAAATCAATGAGAAAAACTTTCATGAATGACAACTTTACAGAATTCATTTTGAATAATTGATTAAACTTATAACAAATGTCCTAATAATTAAGCACATGCAATTTAAAATAGCATAAAAGTTATTTTAAAGTATAAAGTTAGCTAATACTTGTATTTTCAGTACATTCCATTTTGTTGAGCACATGGAGAAACAATCATGCAGGATTTCCCAATGGGGGGAAATCTGCAAACCGCTGGGAAAGTAAATTAGCATGTGTATAAAGTTTCCATCTTTTAACCTAATGATTCTAAGCCATGTTATTTCTATCATGTTTACGATAGAAAAAACACAGGCAACACAACAGCCCAAAAGAGAAGTTTTTAAGAAAATATCAAAAATTCCCAAATTGGAGTATTATACAGCTAACAAAAAAATATGTCACAATAAAGATATAAAACAGTATTTATGCCATAATCCTAACTGAAAAAGATTAAAGCTATGGGTCCAGCGGGATAGCGTATTTGCTAAAGTCCTTGACTTGCATGCACTGGGTTCTCCTGTGGTCGCCGGTTCATATCCCAGCTGCTCCACTTCCCATCCAGCTCCCTGCTTGTGGCCTAGGAAAGCAGTCGAGGACAGTCCAAAGCTTTGGGACCCTGCACCTGCATGGGAGACCCACAGGAAGCTCCTGGCTCCTGGCTCCTGGCTTCAGATCAGCTCAGCTCTGGCCACGGCAGTTAATTGGAGTGAAATAACTGCATTTTGAGAATTAATTTTTTTTTTTTTTACTCTGTTGACTTCAACAAAGAATCATCTTCCAACAGATTACGGAGGGTTTCTTACATTTCCATGTAATCTTTATCCATATCTACACAAAACTGAATTCTTCTAATGAAACTGTGTTGAAACACACCATCTATTTCCTTCTGCTCACTGACATCGACATGTGACTTTCAGGGGGAATCAAGATGGCAGAATAGGGTAAGGACACATTTAAACAGACGGAAAAACATTTAATCAGGATGAAACAGAGAGGGCACATTCCAGGAAACAGAAGGACAGAACAACAGCAGAGGGGTTCCTGGAGCCTGACAGACACAGGAAAGCAGCAGACACAATGGTGTGGTGTTGCAGTGACTGATACTCCAGCGGCATTCAGCAAACGACAATCTGAACTCCACCAGCAACCAGGTGGGAAGGGACTGTCACTGGGAGCTTGGGAGGTGAACCCAGACAAAGAACTGTCCGTCCTGCTGGTCTGTTTGATTTGACCAGGAGCAGAGACAGAGCAGCAGATCCAGACAGGCAGTGGGAGAACAGGATGGATTTCACAGCCCAGTCAGTCCCCTAGAGCTGAATTGGGCGCCATTTTGCGTAAGGAGGCAAAGGCAAGGGAAAGGACTGAGCATGTGTTGAGTTGGGAGAGAACTCATTTCTGACTCAGGGAACTGCATTGACATGGCATTCTACAGGTTCCACCCAAGACAGGTCCGGGTAGCCCTCAGATCTGATGGCCAGCAGATCAAGAACTCTAGTAATGGTACATCAGGCACCATTTTGTACAGTGTGGCAAGAGCTTTAGGACTGCAGGGAAAACAGTGAATTGCGAATGTGCTGAGCTAGCAAGAACTCACTGAGTTCCGTGGATTGCAAAATGTCCTGCAGGAAAATAATACTGATTGTAGCATTGTACTGGTCAAAATAGGTCCATGTGGCACCCAGACCTAATGTCCAACAGGTTCCAGCGCCACCAACAACCTAGCTATATAGGACATTTGGTGTCTCCCTAATCCTGGGAACTGCTCCAACTGAAAATGGGAGAAAGGTTGTACAGACAACAGTGCAGGCTCAGCACGGTATCACAGGAGGTGGAGAGTGGTGAGCCAGGAGTTGGAGCTACAGAGTTCTTGGTGGAAATCTGTAATAACCCAGTCCTGGACCTCGCTGGAAGGAGTGGCACAATTGGCCGCAAGCAAAGAGCAGTGTACCAACTGCTATAAATAAAACCGAACTGTAGACCTGTGGGTGACACTTAGAAACCTGCCCCAAAGAGAAGACTCTGCTAACCACAAGTACAATGACCAAGAGCAAAAGAAGAGACAAAGGCACAATGAATATTACCGAAAACTCCCCTGCAAAGAAGCAAAACCCTATGCCAACCTCAGAGTTAACTGAGGAAGACATCGAGAAAATGGGGGACACAGAATTCATAAAACTCATTTTAAAGCTTCTGATTAACAATGAGAAGCACATACAAGAGTTCAAAGAATTTAAGGGATATTTTACACAAGCAATAGCAGCAATAAAGCAAATCAAGGTTGATATATCAGAAATTAAGAACACAGTAGAGCAAATGAAAAGTACAGTGGAGAGTCTCCAAAATAGAATGAAGGAGGCAGAAGAAAGAATCTCAAAATCAGAACATATTTCCTGTCACGAGGGGGAAGCAAACAAAAAGCTGGAAGCAGAGCTGGATCAGGCCAAAAAACATATTCAAGAATTGAAAGGCACTATTAAGAGGCCTAATATAAGAGTTATGGGAGTCCCAGAAGGTGCAGAAAGAGAAACTGGTTTTACAAATATATTTAATGAAGTAATGAAGGAACATTTCCCTAATCTAGAGAAAGAATTGGGAAACAATATCCAGGAGAGGCACAGAACTCCCAACAGGCTTGATCAAAAGTGATCTTCACCAAGGAACATGATCATAAAGCTCTCTTCAATTGAACACAAGGAAAAGATCCTGAAATGTGCACGTGAAAAAAAATCAACTGACATATAAAGCAATGACAATTAAACTCACAGGAGATCTCTCACAAGAAACTACAGGCCAGAAGAGAATGGAGTGACATATTCCAGATTCTAAAAGAAAAAAAATTGTCAGCCTAGAATAACATATCCAGCAAAGCTTTCTTTGAAAATGAAATAATTCTTTCACAATAAAGTT